CTGGGCAACATAGTGAGACCCCGTCTTTGTAACCACTCAATGGATTCACCTTGCCCGCTGCCTAGACAGAGCTGACTTATCAAGACAGGGGACTTGCAATGGCGAAAGAGTAACTCACGCAGAACCAGCTGTGCGGCAGACCGGAGTTTTATTATTACGTAAATGAGTCTCCTTGAGCATTTGTGGATCACAGTTTTTAAAGATAATTTGGCTAGTAGGGGCTTGGGAAGTGGGGAGTGCTGATTGCTGAGGTTGGAGATGGAATCATAGAGGGTCGAAGTTAGATTTTCTGAATGTCTTCTGTTCCTGGGTGAGACGGCAGAACTGGTTGGGGCAGATTACTGGTCTGGGTGGTGTCAGCTGATTCCATCGAGTGCAGAGTCTGCAAAATAACTCAATTACTGATCTTACATTTTACAACAGTGATGTTATCCCCAGGAGCAATTTGGGGAGGTTCAGACTTTTGGAGCCAGAGGCTACATGACCCCTAAACTGTAATTTCTAATCTTGTAGCTAATTTGTCAGTCCTGCAAAGACAGACTGGACCCCAGGCAAGAAGGGGGTCTTATTGGGAAAGGGCTGTTATCAATTTTGTTTCAGAGTCAAACCATGAACTGAATTCCTTCCCAAAGTTACTTCCATCTACGCCCAGGAATCCACAAGGACAGCTTAAGGGTTAGAAGCAAGATGGAGTCAGTTAGGTCTGATTTCTTTCATGTCATAATTTCCTCAGTTATAATTTTGCAAAGGCGGTTTCAGTCTGTACAAAACATTTCTTTAAAATAGCTGGATGTGGTGGTGCACGCCCGTAGTCCCAGCTACTCTGGAGGCTGAGATGGTAGGACTGCCTGAGCCCGGGGAATCAAGGCTGCGGTGAGCCATGATAGCACCACTGCACTCCAGCCTGGGCAACAGTGAGAACTTGTCTCATTAAAGTAAAATAAAATAAATAAAATAAAATTAAATAAATAAATAAAATAAAATTAAATAAGCGAGGATGCTCTCTGGGATGATGAAAGATCACCATATACCAAATCAGCTTAATCAAAAAAGCGTTTTTGGTGACTCGAATGGATCCAACAGGAAGAATGAGCTTATGGAACCAGAGCAACTTGAAAGACTTTACAGCCTGGGATTAGAGACTTGGTGCAGCCAGGGCTGACTCCTCCTCGTCTTTCTCTCTCGTGTACTTTCTCTGGTTGGCTCATTTTCTCCTACTGCACACAAGCTTTTCTTCAAGTCATAGGGAGGATGGCAGCTGGGAGCCCTCAAGCCGTATTTGTTCAGCTCCATGACCCTGAATGACAAAACTTTTCACCTATGTTATAAAATTCCTAAAGAAGAACTGTGTTCCTCCTTCTCTCACTGGCTCACCTCTGAATCAGTCACTGTAGCCAGGAGGGTATGATAGGTAGGGCCTGGGTCATTCTCCCACCTAGAGGCCAGGGTGATGGGGTCCTGTGATTGGCCACCCCTTTAGAGCCACATGGAGTTGGGGAGGGGAAATTATTCAAAGAAATCACTACAGTAGGAAATGTGTTGGTGTAAAGAGCTGGAAACTTAAAACATTAAGTCTATTACAATGCCCAATAATGAGTTTAGTTGAATAGACTGTCATGTTAATATAAAGCAGTACTCTGCAGCCATTAAGAATAATGTTTTCATGAGAAGGGGCATTATTTGCAATACTAATTGAAGGTGGTTGGGGCTGGTGCAGTGGCTCACACCTGTGATCCCAGCACTTTGGGAGACTGATCCATAGGAGTTCAAGACCAGCTTTGTCAACATGACGAAACCCTGTCTCTACTAAAGATACAAAAATTAGCCAGGCATGGTGGTGGGCGCCTGTAATCCCAGCTACTCGGGAGGCTGAGGCAAGAGAATCACTTGAACCAGGGAGGCAGAGGCTGCAGTGAGTTGAGATCACGCCACTGCAGCCTGGGCAACAAGAGCAAAACTCTGTCTCAAGAATAAAAGAAAAGAAATGGGTTGGGGAAAGTGATACAAAATGACATGTGGCAAGTTCCAGTTTAACTTGGAATATAAAAAGCTAGAAAGAGTGTGGCATGGTGGCTGAAGCCTGTGATCTCAATGTTTTGGGAGGGCAAGGTGGGAGGATTGCTTGAGGCCAGGAGTTCGAGACAAGCCTCGGTAGGATAGCAAGACCCTGTCTCTACCAAAAAAAAAAAAAAAAATTAAAAATTAGCCAGATGTGGTGTCCCATGCCCACCTACTTGGGAGGCTGAGGCAGGAAGATCACTAGAGGCCAGGACTTCAAGTCTGCAGTGAGCCATGATTATGCCACTGCACTGCAGCCTGAGCAGCAGAGCAAGACCCTGTCTCTAAGAATAAAAAATAAAAATAAACTGGAAAAGTGCATTGCTCCCTCTCTGACAATAGGAAAAAGCCAGACAAACTGCAAAATCACTTTTCTTAAACCAAAAGTTGAACCTAAGAGCTGAGCTGAGCTGGGCGCGGTGGCTGACGTCTGTAATCCTAGCACTCTGGGAGGCTGAAGCAGGCAGATCACAAGGTCAGGAGTTCGAGACCAGCCTGGCCAATATGGTCAAACCCCATCTTTACTGAAAACACAAAAGAATTAGCCGGGCATGGTGGTGCATGCCTGTAATCCCACCTACTCAGGAGGCTGAGGCAGGAGAATTGCTTGAACCCAGGAGGCGGAGGTTGCATTGAGCCGAGATCATGCCTCTGCACTCCAGCCTGGGTGACAGAGCAAGACTCCATCACAAAACAAAACAGCTGAGCTGAGGGTGCAGGTGAGCTAAGTAGTCTGAAATTCAAGGAGATACAATTCCTCATGAGCAGAGACCTGATGGGTGGAGTGTCTCATCGGTGCCAGAGCATGGGAGGCGTTTGGCCTTTCATGCAGACATGCAGGAAGAAAGCAGCTACATTTTTCATACAGTGCTAGAGGCCTGGTGCAGATTAGAGTGACTATAAGGAGCCTCTGGGTGTCACAGAAGCAAGGGAGGGCTTTACTTACCCACAGGCTCCTTTCCGTGACCTCTACCAGGTGTTCACAGGAAATACTGGGGGCCCAGCAGGAGACTAAAAAGAGCCCCCTCAGTACCATGGGCATCAAGGACCATATTTGCTCTCATTGCAGAAAAGGCCCCAGCTGCCCATGCTCCTCTCTTGAAAGCCATAAGACCCTGGGGAGGAGTGGCAAACACTATTGCTCTCAGGGCACAGGTGTTACCAAGGGAAGAGCGGGGAGGACCCTAGTCCAAGGGAGGGACAAGGAGCAATTGTGAGCCCAGAGTTCTAAGTTAATACTTTTAGAGGTCTCCTGAAACTGAAGGAGGGGCACAAAAAAATCTTTACCACCCAAGACCCGCCACAAATTCAAAGCAGAGTTTGGCAGCCTGGCATAAGGAGTAGGGAAATACTCATCCCCTACGGCCCAGGCATATAAACGTACCTAAGAAAGAAGATAAAGAGGGCAACAGAGAAGCACTCTGTCCCCTCACCATTACCTTAGCAAGAGCAGCAAGTAACTAAGCAGTCTGCCCTGGCAGAGGGCATGAACATGTGGAGAAATGACCTCTGTGGTGCCTGTGTGGTGTATAGAGGAGACGGGAGCTGAGGGTGGGGCACAAACATTGAGAAATCCCCAGCATTTCAGATGCCACCCTAAGCATAAGGCATCACAAAAGGAATTTGAAGCCTATGATGT